CAACTTCCCCTTTTCATTGCATGTGTCAACTTTGTGCAAAATGCACTCGCTCTCTTACTTCCTGACTTTTTACCAGTTTCCATAAACAAGATGGCTTCATCCTCAGAAAGCATTCACTTACGGCACCCACTGTTTTAAAATGTTCTCTACCTGTATCCATTGGTTCTACTCCATCTTTTGGCTTATTCCAACAGGGCATAAACCTATCAATTTCTTCTCCCTGATCTCTGGTCGGATTTGAGTTGTCAAAGTCAGGCTGCAAGTGGGTTGGGAGCTGGTCTCAACTCTGAGACAGTTTTACTAGTTCGCATTAGAGCAGACCTTTTCGTTTTCTGCAGATTCCCACAGCTATTCTTAGCTCAGCACACGATGGACAATATTCTTAGACTCTAGGTCATGGGTCAGAACATGAAAGTTCTGTGAAGACCTGTTTCTGTAAAGAATTATGGCTGTTGAGGAGGAACCAGGAGGAAGTGAGGGAAGCAGTGAACACACTTCGGGGAACTGGGGTGGGGCTGGATTCCAGCACAGGCAGAAATACGAAGGCACAGCCCTAAGGAGGGAGTTGGCAATTTAAAGACTCCTTTCTCTCCAGGGTGGGTGGGACCTGGAAGACAGCCGTGTTCCTCGGTCAGGCTGGCCGAATGCTGCCTGTCATTTCCCTCCATCTGCTTTGCGCTATGTTCTATTCTTTTTCCAACAGCCAAAATTATACTGTTGCTAGGCACGTGACTTTGGCAAGGAAGCTCTGAGTCTCAGAAGAGTGGAGAGCAGAGAAGCCAATGAGCAGAGGGGGAAGGGAAAGCGGGGTGGCACCGTCCTGGCCCTCAGTGAAAAGGAGGGCCCCACTGCAGGGAGCCTGCAAGATGAGCTTCTCACTTCTACCTTCCCTAAGTATACAAGCTCACGGATTTGATATTATTAAATGGAAATATTTTTATAGGTGCAATTCACACAGGAGATGAACAATAATGTGGAGGTACAGAGAAGGAGAAAATGTAAAATATATTTCCAGAATATGTGTGTAAATCGACTAAAACTTTGAAAGTGTGATAGACATACCATTTTGAGATGTGACTGTCAAAGAAAGTGAGGCTGGAGATATCAGAGGTAAAGGACCCACAGCTAATTTGAAATCTGATCGACTTGTTTTCTATTGTCTACAGGGTAAACTTGAAATTGCCAGTCTTTGTTATTTTATTTACTTAAGATTTATTTGTTTATTTATTTGTTTATTTATTTATTTATTTATTTAGAGAAAGAGAGACATTGATTGTTGTTCCACTTATTTATGCATTCATTGTTTGATTCTTGTATGTGACCTGACTGAGAATCGAACCCACAACCTTGGCATATTGGGACGACACTGAGCTACCCGGGTAGGGGAAATTGCCAGTCTTGAATGTGCTCTGTGAACCTCAAAGCCTGTGACATGACCTGCAACAGAAGCTGCCTTTCCATGCTCTCTTGGATTCCTTTTCCTTTCAGGAGCAGCCCATAGTCTCACCAGGAAATATTCAATCAGAAAGTAGCTTAAGGTTCTTTCCAGCCATAAATGCTATGATTTTAGAAGTAGTCCAGATTTTTAAAGACAGAGCAATACACGAAGGAACAATATTTTTCCAGGCTCCCGAACACTTAAGAAGAAATCTTACAGGTACTTATGAGACCATGCACTCTAGGGAGCTAATAACTGGGATGCGTGAAGTGGAGACTGAGGGCGCACAAGCTACTCTCCTTATGACCTGTTCACATCTCCAAAATTCATGACTCCCTGCTCAGCCCAATGAGCTCGCTTGTCAACTTAATGTGACTCCTTCCAATTTCATGAGAAAATCATTTTTCCTTTTTGTCAAATGCGCTTTCTAGATAAAATGGACAGCCCCGCGTCATGAAATGCAAGAGTTGACAGATATATAATGTAATTTTGAAAATATGATATAAATTGACCCATAGAATTGGAGGTCTGGCAAGAATGCAAGAAATGTTTGTGTACATGAATGTCTAACTGCAAGCAAGACTTTTTTTTAAAAAAGTCATCTCAGAAATAGGTCCTATGGTGACTTTCTTTTAAAAAGTATGTGGGAAACAGAGATCGAGAGACCAAGATGGCGGCATAGGTAAAATGCAAGAGTTGACAGATATATAATGTAATTTTGAAAATATGATGTAAATTGACCCATAGAATTGGAGGGCTGGCAAGAATGCAAGAAATGTTTGTGTACATGAATGTCTAACTGCAAGCAAGACTTTTTTTTAAAAAAGTCATCTCAGAAATAGGTCCTATGGTGACTTTCTTTTAAAAAGTATGTGGGAAAGCAAAGGACAAAGGTCACCTGTAAAAGCACAGACCATTATTTACATTTATGACCATATACGCTGTTCTAGATAAGCACTAAGCAATCTTGGCTGTGCCCTAGAGTTACCTATAGAACATTACTAGTATAAAGTATAGGTGCCTGGGCCCTCCTCCAGGAAGTTAAATTCATTCAGCCTAGAGTTGAGTCCAGCTCTCTATATTTCTGGAAAGGTCCTCTGGTGATTCTGATGTGTAGTAAAGGCTGGGACCCACTGTACACCCTGCAGGATGGGGTAGGTTTTATGGTGCTGGTGCACTGCGCAGATGCTCTCCCCGCGGGATCGAGACAACCATTCCCTCAGCCACTGTGTTGGACACTGACTACTCACAGGGAAGTCCTTCTCCAAGAATTGTCCACCATAGGCCATGCATCACCCATGGCCATGCCCTTCTCCCCTAGTCAGCCCGCATGTAATAACCGGTTAATGGGAGGAGGGGAAAACAAAGGCCCAACCCTCTTGCCTTAATTTGGGGCAACTATGAAAGGGGTCCTTAATCCTAGCCATCAATGAATTAGAGTTACGTGATGTGGGGAAGGCACTGGGTAGGACTTGAACTCAAAACCTTTTTTGTCTATTGCTGTTAGTGGCCTAGACAAGTCACATCATCATTTTTTAACTCTAAAAACAGGGACGACAACAACAATAACAATAATAATAGCAACAAAACCTGTATAATCTACTTTCAAAAGTAGTTGTGAAGATTCAGTAAGAGTCTGTATAAATAAACTGTTATTAACCACGTAAAATGCTGGTAGTTACTGTTACTAAATGTTTTTAGGTCTAAAAATCTGCATATGTTATGTGAAGAAAATATAGTAAGTACCACTGGAAGTCAAAAAATGTTTTAATCCCCAAATGGGTATGTATTTAACATTCTCCACTGTTCAATGAATTGAAGTGAAAAAAATGGAATGGTTTTGTTTGTTTGATTTGCTGTTTTCACACAAAGCTAAAGTCAGCCATAGCAAGAAATAGACCTGGGGACCAAGATAATTCAGTGGGGAAAGAATAGGCTTTTCCACAAATGGTGCTGAAACAACTGGATACCCACATGCAAAAGAATAAAACTGAACCTCTACCTCCCACCACGCACAGAAAATAACACAAAATGGATCAAAGACCTCAATGTTAGAGCTAAAACTATAAAATTCTTAGAAAAGAAGAGCAGTAAAGACTCATGGTTCTGGATTGGGCATTGGTTTTGGAGCTCTGATACCAAAGCAATAAAAGAAATATAGATAAATTGGACTTTACCAAAATTAATTTTGTGTGTGTGTGTTTCAAAGGATACTATCAGGAAAGCAAAAGGAAAACACACTGAGTGGGAGAAAATATTTGCAAATCATAAATCTGATAGGATACTCGTATCCAGAATATATAAAGAACTCTTAACAATTCAACAAGGAGACAACCTCACTGAAACATGGGCAAGGAATCTCACTTGACATTTCTCCAAAGATAACTCATAACTGGCTAATAATAACAGAAAAAAATACTCAACATCAGAAGTCATTAGGGAAATTCAAATCAAAAGCACAATGAGATACCATTTCACACCTACAAGGATGGCTATAATAAAAAAAGACAGATAATAAGTATTGGCAAAAATGTAGAGAAATTGGAGCCCTTATACAATGTAGGAATGTAAAAGGGTAGAGTCACTTTTGAAAACATCTTGGCAGGTCCTCAAATTGTTTGTTTAAGAGTTACCATATAATCCAGCAGTTCTATCCCTAGAGTAATGAAAACATATCTGCATAAAAAACTAGTATAGAATGTTTATAGCAGCATTATTCATATGACCAAAAAGTGAAAACAACCCAATTATCCACCAACTGAAAATGGATAAACTGTAGTATGTCCAGATAACAGAATATTATCTGACAATCAAAATATATAAAATACTGATACATTCTATAATATAAATGAACCTTGACAATATTAAGCTAAGTGAAGGAAGTCAGTCACAAAAGAACGCATACTATATGATTCTATTTATATAAAATGCCCAGACCAGGCATGTCTACAGAAAAGAAAGTAGATGAGTGGTTGCAAGGGGCTAAGGGGAAAAGGAATGAGCAATGACAAAGGTATGAGGTTTCTTCCTGGGGTGATGGAAATATTCTAAATTTGATTAGGTGATGGTTGTACAACTCTGTGAAAATCCTAAAATTCACTGAATTGTAGACTTCAAGTGGGTAGATTCTATGGCATGTGAGTTATATTTGAATAAAAGTGTTATTAAAGAAATAATCCCATGAGCCGAAGAAATAAGACAGATGATAACAAGAATTTAAATATAACTCACGGAAAAACATTATAACTATTTTGTTTTGGTTTTTAAGTAAACACAGCTCACTGTCTGCTATTAAAAAAAATCAGATCACAAATCTGCGTGGGAAAGAGACCGGCCAGGAAAAAATGACTGTGGTCTGGGAGAATTCTCATTCCCTCAAAAAACGGACTCAAAAGTTTTCGGTCACTGACTCAGACGTAAGGAATCAATAACCTCCTGCTCGCTGAGCTAAATCATGCCTGCTAGGAAAAGACAGTTTTTAAAAAATGGGCCTTCAAAAGTCTTTTTAGCAGTAAATGCAAGATCTGCAGTCACACTCCTGCCGGAATGCCAAGCACTGTACCTGTAAGCTCTCAGGATCCTCTGGGCAATGGCGTCGCCTATCTTGTTGAACACAACCTTGTCATCCGCGCAGCTTATAAAAAACTGGTTCTATGAAAAATCAATAGGATAACCATGTAAGTCTTTCATATCTTAGTAATATATATGGAAATGTGGTGTATAACATACTCTACATTGATATTTAAAAAACAACAACACATTTCATATAGCAGACATGTTCTGACCCCTGAAATCACCTGAGGAAAGTAAGCCACAGAATAAACCTCATCTCACTCTGGATCCTATGCATTCCCAGGTAAGAACAGGTGTAGCATCTTAGTCGAGCGAATGGCTAAACTATTATTTCATCATGCACATTCCTTGTAGGTTATGTTTTTAGGAACATTCCAAATTGAAGGGACATCGAACATCGAATTTTTTTTCAGATTCACACATTGTATAAATGCTTATGATTAAAAATTATATCTTGGCTAGATACAGAAAACAGACTGACAGCTGACAGAGGGGAGGGAGGGGGCAGCTGAGTGATAAAGGTGAAGGAATTAAACAACAACAACAAAAAACCTCGTAGACAGACTACAATATGGTGATTACCAGGGGGAAAGGGGATGGGGGGAGGTAGAAGAGGGTGAAGAAGGATAAATGGTGACAGAAGGAGACTTGACTTGGGGTGGTGAACATACAATATAATATACAAATGATGTATTATATAGAACTAGAGGCCCAATGCACAAAATTCGTGCAAGAGTAGGCCTTCCTTCCTCTGGCTGCTGGCGCTTCCCTCTGTCACCCAGGACCCGGGCTTTCCTTGCAGCCCCGGCTTCATCCGGAAGGTCATCCGGTCTAATTAGCATATTATGCTTTTATTATTATAGATTATACACTTGAAACCTATATAATTTTATTAACCAATGTCACCACAATAAATTTAATAAAAAATTCTGTCAGCAAACATTCTATCTTATACCAAGTCTACTTTTTTAACAGGTAGATGGCAGAGCCATGATCTAATTTTCTCCACCCTTTCTCCATTATTAACTAGTATATGCTTTGGCTTTAGATCATTTATTTGAGTCTCTTATTATTCCTCAACTTCTATTTTAAGTAGCTTAAAATCTCTTGTATGTATACCAATAAAATAGAGAAATATTGTTATATCTTTTTTGTTGAAGTACTTCTCTTATTTATGCATCTATAAAACATTCTACAATACTACTACTAAAAAACTAGGATACAACATTATTATAATGGTACAAAAGATTTAGTTGCTGCATAGAGGAATGTAAATTAGATACAAATATTATCACTATTACATATTTTATTTATACATTGTTATAATACACCTATAACAAAGTAGAGTCATCACCAAGCAACCTTTGCTAATCATCTTAAAGAGATATATAAGCAATGAGTCAATATATTATTATCATCCCTCTGCAACATTATCATGTTTATTACTATACACATTTTTTACACTTAAGTGCCTAAATCTGTAAATTGCCTCCAGAAGACAAATTTACAAGAGAACACTGAGCAGAAACTCATTTGAGAATGTGTTTCCCCTTAGGGCAGTGGTTCTCAACCTTCTGGCCCTTTAAATACAGTTCCTCATGTTGTGACCCAACCATAAAATTTTTTTCGTTGCTACTTCATAACTGTAATGTTGCTACTGTTATGAATTGTCATGTAAATATCTGATATGCAGGATGGTCTTAGGCGACCCCTGTGAAAGGGTCGTTCGACCCCCAAAGGGGTCGCGACCCACAGGTTGAGAACCGCTGCCTTAGGGCATCAAACAATCAAAATCTCAGTGGCAACCAAACCATGCTTGTTTTTCTGAATTTATATTACAGAGAAGCTTAGCATTGCTCAGCAGCTGTAACACACACTGGCCACATGTCATGTCCTTACTTCTTTTTGGGAGAGAGCAGGGTGAATGCTGACCGCTTACTTTGCCTAGAGGTGTGTCAACCTGGTTATTATCTGCACCCATGTGTACTAGTATCATCCTGGCATTACTGATCTCACTTAGTACTGGGGTATCACTAATAAGAAAAGCTGACTTACTGCTACCAAAAAGAGATAAAGCAAGAGGATTCTGGGTAATGGGTGAGCCAGCTGTTAACAACTCACATTATTATGTTAAAATTTTTGAAGTCAATTACACTAATCATATCAGTATTACTAAACTCCAGACTTTATCCAGAGTTCAGTAATGTCCTTCTTCTGTTGCACGATCCCATCCGGGATACCACATTGCATTCAGCCTGCCAATATTTTTAATCAGTCTTCTCTTTCTCCACGTCTGTGAAATAAATAAATCTCTAATTCTTTTCTACTTGCCTTGAATAAATTGTCACTGGATGGAAGGGGAGAGGGCCAAAACTCAAGGGGAAGGAAGAAAGGGCTAGAATGATTTTCTTCAGCTACTGCATCTCCCTCCATACATTTTTACAAAACTCAGTGGAAAAGAAAAGACTCAAATAAAGGAGGGAGATGTGCTCTGATTGATTGTTGCATTGTCATGACTTTTTATTTTGTCAGGATTTTCCAAGTGCTCTGAGGTAGCTTAGGAATGACTAGGAAGTGCTAGTAAAGTTCCCAGAGTAAACCCAGTGTCCCCTAGATTTCCTCCTATTCTTTGAACACAAACTCTGGGATCTGCAAAAGCTTTGTAATAAATAGTTGTTCACACAGAACTGAGGAAGGTGGTACCTTCCCTCAATATTCTTGCATCTCCCTTTTCCACGTTCCTTTGCTGCACTCTCCTACGCCAACATCCCCAAACCAGTGGCATCCAGGGGTCTCTATTTTAGCAACTTACCCCTGTGCCTGCTCCCCTGAAGCAGTACGTGCCTCACACTTCACCCTCCAACTCCAGCCAAATCTAAACTTATACATCCTTGTTGGGGAATACCTGGCTAATAATATTACAATGAGTTGATACATTTAATAACAGGGATCTGGGGACTCCTATTGGAGTCCTGAGTTAATGAAAATGCAAAACAAATGTCAGGTATGCTTGGGAAGTAAAAGTTCACGTGGCCCAAGATACACTTAATACAGGAGGTCCTGAGTTCAGGGACCCTGCAGTTTCTGTGTGGTATTGATGGGAAGGCAGGTTGTTATAGCAATTTACACAAGCAAGACTTACTTCTATATAGATATAGTGCTTGCTGTTCTCTATCACGTGGACGTAAGCAGTGTGGATGGACTCTTCATGGTACTTTATCCCAGCAGACCAATCAGTAGCAGAGCGGAGCAACTAGGAGGCAGCAATCAGAAATGAGCAAACATAAGACAATGGAGATTACACCAGATGCATTGATACGATGAAGTCAATCCTTTTGCTGTTAAACAACTAAATGAATACAATGGCTTGAGTGTCATGTGTGGGTCAAGGGAGAGTAGGTGGATGGGGTACTGGTCCTTGGACGTATCCCATAACGAAGGAGCCCAGCTGGCAACCAAGTCCTGAATATTTCTTCTCCCACTCAACACAACTGTCAATCAAAATGGGAAACCATAGGCATTTCTATCAAGAATATTTCAGGAGTACCTCATCTGGTGGCTGAGTAGGGTGCCTATTTTTACTTTTCCAGGATAATTCCACAATTTCACCAGATTGCCTGGTGCTATGGTGTATTTTTTAATAGTGCCACTTTCACTCCCCAAAGTATCCTGGTATGAGCCATATGATATGGCCACCCTAGCTCTGACTTGATAATAATATGATTACTCCTTTTCCCTCAAATAGATACTGTTCAGATTAATATACGCTAAAAAGCAATTAGATCCATTTAGAGATCTAATCTTGATTCTACTTTTAATTAGCTGTCTGATCCTGGCCCTGTCACTTCAGCTCTCAGCTTCCTCACTCTGCTGCCTCCCTGCATTCAGACACTCACCTGCTCCCACCCAGATTACAATAAGAGCTTCCAGTGCAGACACCTGAGTATGTGTTAAATGCACTGACACAGAGCAGGACTGCCTAGGTTCAAAGCTTAGCTCAGCCATTCAGTGGCTTTGATCTTGGTCAAGTTTCTTAACTGCTTTGTGCCTCAGATTTCCACTCTATAAAATGGAGTATCTACTCTGTAGGGTGGTGGAGAGAATTAAATGAATTAGTGTGGAGTGTGCAGGAGACCTGGCACCCAGTAAGTGCTGTTACTGTTTGCTATCACTAGTGAGCACATTAGAGGATGCGTTTGAGTGGTGGCAGAGCCTGTCAGCGATGATGCCGAGTAGACTGTGGCTGGGCATGGGAGGGTACACTCGATGACAGGGAAGGCTTTTCAACACTAAGACACCACTGGCTGTCAGCATTCTAACTAGTATTGCAGTGCAATGTTGGGCATATAGTAGGTGCTCAATAAACATTTATTTGACCTTCCCTAAGTAATAACAGGACATCACATAAGCATCACTATAAAATAGATTTACTATTTCTGATTTGAAATGAATGTTGAAGCTTTGCTTCAAGAGATGAACAGAAATTGAAGGAAAAATAATAACCTATACTTATTAGGAATATATAAAATGATCCAATTCATAATCAGCTTTGTCTGTTATAAAGGGGTCGGTAAAAGTAGGTTTACCAGGTACAGTTGTGAGTACACAAAACATAGGGTTTATTCTTGTATTTATTTAACTAGCATGGGTTTTTTTTCCCCATATGAACAACTGTAAACCTACTTTACCTTCCCTGTATATAAAAGATCTGGTACAATTCTTGCTCTAATCAATAACTTAAAAAATTGTACCTATAAGGCTACTGAAATTCAAAGTTAAATCCTACTAATATCATTGATTGTGCCATCCTCAAAACGTTATTTCATTATTCAGTGTGTGACATTTATTACAAAATAGCCCCCTGCAAAGCACTTTATTTAATTTTGTCACATGAACAGTGTAATGAAATTAGAAAATATAATTGTGAACAGAAATAGTCAAATATCTCAAAAGAGAACTCGTAGGAAAATTTAGATAAATATGATCACACTGGGAAATATCTTGATTTCCCATCATCCCCAAAGAGCTGCATTATTGTCCATTAGTAGAAATAACAAAGGTTGAACAAATAGAAGTTTTAATTCTTAGTCCACTCAAACGTATGCTGAATTTTGTTGCGAGGGTGCATAACTCTGAAAATGCAGGCTACCTTGAAGATTCTTACACCACACATGCTGACCTAATGCTATGTAACTCTGGGAACAATGTATACAATTATAAAGTGTACTAGAAAGATGGGAGTTGTCCTCATTGAAAAATGTGAATGAAACCAATGTCACAGGCACTTAGTCCAGAAAGAGCCATTTTGCCCAGTAGCACTTTGTGATAAAGAAAAGCAAGACTGACCTGAACGTTAGCACGGACGGACCCAGGCACTTGGTATTTCAACTCATGGGCTGTTGTGTGAGATTTTGGAAGTAGAAAAGGATAAGAAAGGGACCGATATTTTGGTTTCATAATCTAAAATAATTAAAAAGAAGGTAAAAAATTTCAAATAAGAAAACAGTTCCATTCTTTTACATTTTGATTATAAAAGAAATTCAGGTTTATTTGAAACAGAAATAATTGTTAACAGTGGATGTTTCTAGGTGAAGAGGTAACACATTATTTTTGGTTGTTTTTTTTCTATTTCCCAGTGATGGAGAACTCCTTTTTTATTTCTTTTACCTTATGTAGTAGGCATGTATTCTTTAGAAAGCTTAAATATAATTGAGTTATAGAGATATATAATTGCAAAAAGGGGGTTACTCTTTTGTAAACTGATATTTTACTATGTTGCAGATATCTTGCCATAGCAATATAGCACTACATGTCATTTTAAAATAACTCCAGTGTCAAATGGTATGGAAAGAGCATAACTTGTTTAATAAATTACTATTAATAAGCATTTCAGTTACTTCTCATTTTATTTAAATTATTGGAAGCAATATAAAAATAAATTAATTAATTGGGTTATTTCCTTAACTTAAATGCCTGGAAAAGATTTTCTGAGTCAAAAGGTTATATACCTTTTAAGAAGTTTTTTTGTGCTGTACCAATTTAGCCCCCAGAAGCAGGGTATAAGATCATCAAAACCCAATTGTAGGTATTAGCTGTGTTTTGTTTTTTTTTTAAATCTTTGATTGCCTAGTAGGTTAAAGCTTTCACTTACATAGCATTATAAACAGTAATTTTTTTGATAAAACAGTCTTTTCCCAAATTACCAGGAAGAATAATGAATGTCTCCTCACTTTTTAAAGTAAATAAAAAGGAATCTAAATAACACCTGGATGATAGGCACTTAACTTATGAATGTTAGGTCAAATTCCCAAGAGTAATGAAAACATACTAAAGAAGACACAATTGGGATAAAAACAAAATGGCTACATCCCTCATCCTGCTCACTTGGCTCAGGACCCCTCTCCAAGATGAACCCAGTGCAATGCCAGGATTGGAAAGACTTGAAAGTGTGAGCTCAGCCAACTAAACAAGACTCCCATTCCCCTTCAATAGCCTTCCGGGTGAGCACCAGCCAGGCCAGATGCTTAATCAGCACTGAGCAGCCAAGATGTTAAAGGGTGAAAACCACTGGCCCTGATCATAGCATCTATTCCTCTCTGCTCTAAATTCTCTGTAATGTAAAGCTCAGGAACATTTCCTTTTGCCCACAGACTCAGGAGCTCTGACTCCCAGGCACCCGACAGCAGATGACTGGCACAGCTGTGGCCACCCAGGCCTCTTCCAACCCCCGAGGTGTCTCCTCTCCCAGGCCTGCCTCACTATGTGGACTGAGCCATGATAAGACCATCCGTGTACCTTGGTGAAGTTCCAGCGCTGGATGAAGTGACGTGCCACATCACGAGCCGCCTTCCCGTGGACCACAGAGCCAATGTCATGCCATGGCATCCGGGGGGTGGAGTACCTGTCTATGAAATCTGCCCAGGTGCACCAGGCAAGAATCGTCACTAACTTCTGTGCCAGGGACAGAAGCCATCTGACCCCCAGAGCTGACCCCACTATGATAAGTCAAAGGGAACGTGGCAATGTCCACGTATGTGTATATTTCTTGGCTTGGGTGGAGCAATACCTTCATAACCAAGTGAACCATAGATCACAGTCCCCCATGCACCTCCCCAAATATGTTTCCTCTTCTCTTAGTGTTAGATAGTCACGAGGCAAGGCAAGATGTGAGCTGGTACAAATTACCTAAGGCTGTGTACTTGACCTTGTGTTTTCCTGTTTTACCCTGTTGACATGATGTCAGGCAACATATGCAGTGCCATCTCTATCTCCTCTTAGACATAGAAGCACAGTGATAATCTAAAAATGTGTCACTTTAATGATAAAAATGAAGATGATAAGCAGAAGGATGATCAAAGGGATTGTGCCATCTTTTGGAGAATGACAGATCATTACCCCCAAAGTATGCCTATATAAAACCTGATGGTTTGAAACAAGTAAGCTCTATTTCATGTTTTTTTTTCTTACTATAATTATAAGCAATCCTTAATTATATGACTGAATTATGATTTAGCAAATATTCTTCAAAGTTTCAGCAAATATTCAAAAGAAAACAAGACATTAGATCATGCACTGGCATACTTGTTAGATGTTGACAAGCAAAAAGAGAAAATATAAGCAGCCATCCACTACCACGGAACTCACCAGCAAAGGGTTTATCCAGTTGGATCCAGTCTTTGAAGACGAAATTGCAGTAGTCCTTTCCATGCCAGAATCGCGTTTCCCCATGGAGCTCTCCCACACCTGTCTGCAAACTGCGGACTGAGCCCGTGTCTGTGGACACAGCAAGACCCACTCAGAGACAGTACAGGTGGGCCCCAGGGAGGGAGGCTCAACTCTCATTTACGAAACTCCTCTAGACTTCTTACCTTTCCTTCTTGAGACTCATTACTAGGGCAGAATATCTCTACTCCATCTGAGGCTGAGGGGTGACAGGTTTTATAGCCCTTAAGTTTATTAGTAGTGGGCAGCTGGGGCTATAACCAGGTTTGCCATGTGACAACGAAATTTAACATTCTTAGGTTTACCATCTATCAGCTCACTGGAAGAAAGGACCACAGGGTTAACTGTGAATCAAGAACTTGCTAGGAGGAACTATGAGAGAGTAGTAAAACCTGGGTCAGGTAGGGAAACATGAGATCTGTATGTTAGCATAGATACAGAGGATAGAAAGAAATCATGCCCTTCTCATTCCTCAGTCAATGTGGCAAACACCTAATATGGAAGTCTTGTCCTTTGCATCTCAGAAAGAAAGAACCTCAAATATGCAACAGCCCACATTCCAGCCCTGGAATTAACCAGCTAAGTCAGTGATGGCGAACCTATGACACGCGTGTCAGAGGTGACACGGGAACTCATTTTTTTGGTTGATTGTTTTTTTGTTAAATGGCATTTAAATATATAAAATAAATATCAAAAATATAAGTCTTTGTTTTACTATGCTTGCAAATATCAAAAAATTTCTATATGTGACACAGCACCAGAGTTAAGTTAGGGTTTTCAAAATGCTGACACGCCGAGCTCAAAAGGTTCACCATCACTGAGCTAAGTGAACATCACCATTAACAAAGAATTTGGTCTAGATGACATCCAAGATTTTCAGGCTCTAACATTCTATATTCCCGAAATCATAAATGACAACCATAAAAGTCATCACAACAGACTAGAGGTTTATGACTATACATGCACAAAAGCAGCCATTTACTGCAACACTTCACAAAGAGCTTTGCGGGACAATTTTACTCAGGGGTCAATACTTTGACTGAAATTGGCTATATTGGCCATTGAGACAACTAAGCAGGAAGACTAGCAGAACTACAAATCACAGATGTAGGGCTTAGCACAAAAGAAGCATTTAACATATAGACATCGGTAGCAAAAATATTTATTGAATGAATAAATGGTACCACATGCAGTAGCCAGGTAGCCAGTGAGAGTACTGAACTGGTCCCCCCACCACCACACTGTCCCAGAACTGTCTTTTCAAACTGCAGACTCCTTGCTTAAAAGCCTTCCAGAATCACCTACTGCCTACACAGGGTCAAATCCTAAGGGTTTCGTGTGCATAGAAGACTCCAAACGGGGTACCAATCTCTCTCTCTCTGGTCTTTGCTCTTCCCCAAACAGCCCAGGCCCCATGCCCATCACGTGCCTCGCTGTGTTTGACAGGCTGGTCTATCATGTCTCTGTCCAATTGTCACATTTTTCCTTCTGCCTGGGATGCTGTTCCTTCCCTCTCAGCCTGATCTCATCATCCTTCAAGAGCCACATAGTGTCATATGCTCAAAACACCCCCAGGTCCTAGTAGGGACAGACAGTCACTAGCTCTGCTACAGGACCATTAATAGCTGCACACCCCAGTGCCTCTGATTCTGTGACACAATTGTGTAAGGATGCTTCCTCCCTGCCCCCACTCATCTATAGGGTGTCCCAAAATTCACCCAAGATTTGAATTTTGCGTGAGCATTAACAACAACAACAAAAAAATAAAAGCCTAATTTTACTTGGTTTATTGAATCAGATTCTAATATCTGTTGCCCTTTGATTTCAATCCCTTCAATTTGATAAGCATTACCAAGTACCAATGATGGCCCAGGAGCAGGGACAATGAAGACCAATGAAGACCACGGCTTTGCATATGTGCCAGCAAAGCCGTGGAGGCCATTTACCCGATGTGCTATTCCATACATAACCCTATACTGTATACTTTATGAATCAATAAAAAATTTACAATTTTTAATTATAAACCTGTGTTTCCTATCAAAATTACTTCTTGCGTGAATTTTGGGACACCCTATATAAACTCCTCAGGGTGGGAGTGTATCCCCGCCCTCCTGGTGTAGCTCCGGGCACTCAGTAAGTATTTCCAGAACAAAGGTTTTTAAGCAATCGCCCCACGAATATTCTAGCTCAAACAGAATAATTAGCCTTCAACGGTTATTGAAATTGTCTTAAAGTGCTAAATATGAACGAAACTGAAATGTTAAAGATAGAATTCTATTGACTTCTCCCAGCGATTTATTTTCCTGCTCGATAAGACTGAGAGGCCAAAGTACTGGCAGGTCTGTTTGCTCACCTGTAGGCTCTTTATAGTAAGCATGGAACTTTGTTAAAAAATAAAATAAAAGAAAGAAAAAAGAGACAAGAGTGAGATAAATTCCAAATTAAAAAAAAGGCATATGTATATAAAATTTGTTTTTATCCATTGAAAAACTCTAAAGCTAAAGTTTTACATATACAAAAAATACAGTTGCTTAAAAATTATCTTTCACCTAACTATCAGTTATTATAAGAAAAACAAAACCAAGAGAATTCTTCGATTCAGAAAATTGTCTCGGTGTTAATTGACTTCAACCTGCTCATAATTCAAATTTGTTTTTAGTCATGGCCTAAAGTGGCAGCCTGGGCGAGTCTATTTTGAAGAAGTGGCAATAGAAGAAGTGGGGGGTGTCGGTCGGTCGGTGGGGCGACGGGACTCGGCGCAGGCGGGCCGCGGGATACACAGAGTGAGGGAGGCGTGCGAGATTCATGCAGGAGTTGAGTAAGCCAGTCAGTCAGCAGTCTCATTGTGCAGTGGTTAGTGCTAGTGATAGACAAAACAAGTATACAAGACGAGTGTGGATGGGACAGTTGGAAGGGGTGGACCTCAGCGAACGTACCTCAATCAGATTGAGGACGCTTTTAGCAAAGGCCAGCTTAGGAGTTCACATTAGTGTTTGTCAGTCATTGTCATGATTTAATTTTATGGATATTGTAAGGTAAATTGTAAGGAATTTAATTTTATCAATAAATAATATCATTATTAAGTATGATATCAAGTTTTATTCAATGTACCTATAGTTTAACCAAGACTTAAAACTTTAAGTAAAGTTTATTAAGTTAATTTTAGGGAACGTTGTGCAGTGAAAGATGTAGTGTCGAGGATTGAGAAAGATATGTTGAGATGGTTTGGACATATAGAGAGGATGAACAAAAGGAGATAGATGAAATAAGTATACAAGACCAGTGTGGATGGGAGAGTTGGAAGGGGTCGACCTCAGCGAACGTACCTCAATCAGAGTGAGGACATTTTTAGTAAAGGCCAGCTTAGGAGTTCCCTAATTAAGTTAATAACAATGTACCTACCTATATAGTTTAAGTTTAAAAAATTTGGCTCTCAAAAGAAATTTCAATCGTTGTACTGTTGATATTTGGCTCTGTTGACTAATGAGTTTGCCGACCACTGGCCTAAACTATTCCAAACAAATCAGGGCCCTCCTAAGAACAAATGAAATATTAAGGCAAAAGAGCCAAATGCTCGTAGTTACTGTGATTACTGCTCAGAGTTGTATGAGCACCAATGAGCAGGAAGACAGGACGTTCAAGATCAGCAACGCCGATCTGAGGAGCTCTCAGTCTGTATCTGGCTCCCAGTTGATTTCATAATTGCACCTGCCTTGTTGTTCAGCACAGGTTTTTCATGCCAGTTTCCTGCAATCCTCATTCCTCAGTGGCCCGGACTCTGGCTGCAAAAGTTCAGGGAAAGGGTGTGTCCCTGCCCCCTCATTGGTGCTCATACAACTCTGAGCAGTAATCACAGTAACTACGAGCATTTGGCTCTTTTGCCTTAATATTTCATTTGTTCTTAGGAGGGCCCTGATTTGTTTGGAATAGTTTAGGCCAGTGGTCGGCAAACTCATTAGTCAACAGAGCCAAATATCAACAGTACTTCTTCAAAA